CAGAAACTGAAATCTGCCATGTCAAAATGCCTGCCTTTTGCTAAGTATTTCAGTGGAAAAGAAGTGGTAGATGACAAAATAAGTTCAAAAAGTGCAAAACAATTGAGTTACGGCCTGAAATTTGCCATGTCAAAATGTCTGCCGTTTGCTAAGTACTTCAGTGGGAGAGAAGTGGTAGCTGACCAAATAAGTTCAAAAAGTGCAAAACAACTGAGTTATGGCCCAGCTACTACTACTAGTACATTTCAACTGCAGTGTCATCTCAGTCACATGCTTGCCCATCCTGGTATATGGGAAAGACTCAAGCTAACTTTTACTTTTGCAACTATCGCCATGCATGAAACAGTCACAGCTCAGCTGATGCACACGAACCACTTCAAAGAGAGACATTAGATCCACCTTGGAAACAGGGAAGTAAATTTTGCTAAGATTATGTAAGATTACTCTGCATTCTGGTAGAGCCTTGTGCTTCAAAAGCAGAAATAGAAACAAAAGAATTGCCAAACTGCAAACTAAAGGTGAAAGAAAATTAACCATTTCTTATGTTGCATATATTTACTTTGTGCCTTTTACTTTGGACTTTTTAGTTTCTTCTTCTGGTTTGTCCTTCTTCAGTCTTCTATTTGGTCTTGGAACAATGTCATCAAAAGGATTAAACAAAACCTGTGAAAAAACCAGAAGTTTAGACACATCTTTAGTAAGTATTTGGTTGTAATTTAATGATTCAGTATTTTAAAACAATATGCCAAGTTTTCTGAACACTGAATTTTAAAGCATCACTTTTCAAACCAGAACATACTCACCTCACTACTTCTTATTTTGTGTGGGCTGAGAGGTCTCTCTTCCTTGTCAACTTCTACTTCAGCAAGGCGCAACATGTTATATATTGTATCCCCTGTAACCTGGCAAATTTATAAAAAAGGCTTGAAAATCCTTGCCTGTAATTTTTGTTATTTATTCCTCAAAATGCAAGGCAATTATTATGTAAGAAATTTTGAAAATACAAATTATGTAGGAAATACTGTAAGCATGTAAGACTTATAAAAGAAAGCAAGTACAATGTACAAAGGTTTGGGGTTTCTAAATTTAATGGCAAAAGTTGAAGGAATATAGGTAGTTTTGAGAATGTACGCAGGGGAAGATGTCAAATTCTTATTCGTGAGCTATGAAACAGGAAAACAAAAACCACTGAAATAAAAAATATTTGGTTTATTTTCTTCTAAGTAAATCACAAGAGTGGTAAATTCATTCTATGTTTTACATTTTCCTGATTCTTCTTGAGTAATTAGAATCTAAGCACACAATTTTCTTAAATGTCATTAGTATTAGATGAACTAATTAATAAAACAGAGGCATAATAATATTAATAAGACTATTTAAAGGCAGCACAACATGAAAATCCAACTTAGAAGAATAACAACAGCAAAGTACAGAATAATGGGAACTACCCATAGAAACATTTCTGCCAGATATGGGAAACAAAGAGAAAGGAGACAGCTGAGAAAGCAGTGAAATAAATTTCAAATGTACGTAGCAGCAAACAACACTAAATTAGCCTTCAGAGAAACTTATAGTAGCTTCTGTCAAATTTAAACTGGGACTCTAGTTCACATAGCAGACCTTTCCAAAGATTGTGTGCTTGTTGTTAAGTTCATCTGCACGACCCAGTGTAAAGAAAAACTGACTCCCGTTATCATGGGGCCCAGCATTTGCCATAGCAACAAGTCCTCTTCGATTAAATCGCAGTCGTGAGTGGAACTCATCCTGTCAAAACAGAAGAGAAAATAGTACCATTTAAGTCTGTAATTATTTTTTTCACTTCTTTAGATATGGCTTATTTACATCAACATGCCCACATAGAAAATACGCTGTTAAATTTTTTTTTTAAATTCAGACAGTAATAAATCCAAAGTATTTTCAAACTTAGTGCCACAATTATATTTAAAAGTTTCTATTTTGAGCAGCAAAAATTATTTTAGTCAATATTTTTAATCCTGTGTGCCTACAATAATGCAAACAAGTAAACAACCTTCAAAAGAAACCATAAACACATAACCAATGAACACCAAACAAAAAATTAGAAACTAATTGACAAAATAAGTTTATTGACAAATCAATAACAGAAAGACGTATTATTTAATAAAAATCCTCATATTTCTGTCTTGTTAATTTTATTTTTCCAATTGTTCCCTAAAAATCAACTGTTATTCATTATTTCTATTTGCTTTCACTACCCCCAACATTAAGAAAATCAGAAGTGTTTTAAAAAGTAACTGCATTTCATACATTTCATCTAAAAGTACCATTCTCGTGAATCACTGTATTTATGTGAAAAATCATAATTCATGTAAAGTAACTGAAAGTAACCACAATAAGAGGTTGTAATAATACATTAATGCAAAAATCCATAGGAAGAACATTTTCTTTACCATAAGAAGGCAAAATAGGACTCCTTTCAAAGCAAAGAGAAAGTGTTGAGTAATACATGAATACCATGGTAACATCACAATTCTAAACACTGCTATATTGAGATAGTATTAATTTTAAGCAGCAATGCTACTACAGTATTGGTAATACTTGTTTTGTTCTCTGCTTAGTTACCAATCCCTCCCAAAACTTCACATCCATGCCAAATGTACAAGTCAAGGGGCAAGATGACGCAAGGACCAGCGTCAGGTTATGCACCTTCAGTCATGAGCCTCCCACATCTGAAATAAAATATCAGGCAGGACAGAACACAGCCGCTGAGCCCGCCTAGCTTCACTCAGGATTTGACCCTCCTGGCTAAGTGATGAACCATGGTGATAACAATAATACCAATGGACACATATACAGCCCTCAGAGACCTTTGCTAAATGAGATATAATGTGCACAAACACTTCTGAGTTGTCATATATCAAGACTTACTCTTCATTCTTCCTCTCCCCAATTTTCTTTTGTGAAGCTCATGCTAATATGGTTACACATTTATCACAATATCAGAATAGCTAGATTTAAGAACTCTCAGGTCAAAGAGACATATTCAAACACACTGAAGCAGCATGTGAAATAAAATACTGCACGTTTCATATAACATTTGATTTTTCACAACATAACATGGTAGGAAGAACAACAGATAGCAAATAACCAAAAATTAATGCATGAGATATACAGAAACACACCTTGAAGGGAGCTCCATAGACTGACTCTCCTCCTGATCCAGTACCAGTAGGATCACCTCCCTGCACTATAAAGCCAGGCACTACTCTGTGAAATATTGTGTTATTGTAATACTCTAAAATAAAGAGGAAAAAAGAATAAAACATTAAATACATGTTAGTGTTCTCAAAATCAAACTTTCATATAGATCATGCAGGGATGTCCAGAGATTGAAGTCCCAGAAAGCAAGTACTGTCAGTAGATTTTGCTGATGCCACTGGGTTCCCTTCTATTCCACACAGTCTTACAAAAAAACCCCTGCATTGTCATATGTTTCTGTTGCAAAACACCCTACTCATCACTACCAAGATGATCTTGATCAACTACTTTCTTTTCAGCTTTTAAGTTTTTTTACTGGAATGGTACTACAATTACATTTAAAAGGAGAGCTAGAACTACTATGCTCTGCCTCACACAATGTCTCACATACAGCATCAGCCATATTCATATATCAGATGATTAGCACTTCCATGGACCAGTGTAGAACACACACGGTCCGCTTTCACTACTTACACTGAGCCTAAACTGATAATTTTCGCAAAATGAAATTGGTGGCACATTTTTCTCCTAATCTTCTTATCTATCTTCTTGTCTATCTATCTAATCTATCTTATCTATCTATCTGATAAAGGTTACACGATCATAAGAAAACAAAAGGAATGAAAACTTTACTTGACATATATTTCTGGTTGATTTTTTAATTATTATTATTTTTGAACAAAAATAAATCTGCAGCATGCTGTAAGACAAAGCAGGGTCTGCAAATGTCACAGCATAACTAGATATAGTCATGGGTGGCTATATGCCAGGATACTCACAAGAAATACTCAAATGTACTATACAAAGCATAGGATACTACACAGCAGTTAGAAAAAAATTGGAAAGGAAAAAAAGTCCACTGAGGATAAGTGAATTCTTACCAAGGGATAAGAAACTGATTTACCATTTACCAAATTTCAACTATAGGTGTAATAACACAGAACAGGCTGGATCTGTGCTGGAGGCACAAATCCTAGGCTGCTATTTCTGCTTAACAGATGAAGGCGAAAAGAACTCTTAGCCACTCTATAAATGCAAAAATGGGATAATAGCAGCAGTTAGAAAACATATAAAGATATCAAGTCCTTCACAAATTTTTGTTACAGTTTCCCAAGAGGGAGCTTCTTATTTTGGTACCGACTACTTCATTGGAGAGCTTTACAGAGCTTCTGTCAACAAAAAAATACAGCAAATAAAAAATCAGAAACACTCACAGAAAAAAAAAAAAAAGGTAGTAAATATGGTGACACAGAAATAAGAATTTTGGAGGATATCCAATATTGCATCAGTGCCATCTCATACACACACTAAAGAAGTTATACTTTGTAGAGACTTGCTGAAAGTAAGCCTTTCCAAGCCTCTGACAGGCACCATTTCAGTAACACTGCATCGTCTGCTTAAGTTGAGAAAACTATCCAATTTTTTTTCTCAACTAGGTTCATTAGTAACCTTGAAAAACATCATGTGAGTGTTAGTTAATAATTTTTAAATAGAAATAAACTTATTGAAGTATTAAAGTTAAAACACATTTATAACCCC